AAGAGTAAATTATGTGTTGGTCGAGCAGTGGCCATTTGGAAAAACAGTTTTTGAGGATTTTTAATGAGGTTGACTAATTTTCTCTCGAAAATTATTCTATTTTTCCAAAACTGGACCATTTCTTGGACCCGAAAAAAGAAAATTTTCAGTGCTCATAACCTGACTTGCCTGATTTGAAATCAAAAAGTTGAATAAGTATGTTAATCTAACTCTCATATTGGTCAAAATTGTTTTAGTAGAAAGCCAAAACAAAAAAATGGTCAAAATAATGAACTAGGGACACAGTTGAGTCAGGTGTTCTGTCTCTTCCCCATTGTCAACATACTTGCCAGAAAAGGGCACTCTACTTGCTAGAAAAGGCACTCTACTTGCCAGAAAAGGGGCACAACTGAAGCTAACAACAAACGGCTGAAAGCTCTCTCACCCTCCAAGCAGTGAGGTATCAAGCTAAGTGCGAAGCACGAACTGGAATGGATCAAGATATTCCACTCCCTTATTCAAAAAGGTCTGGTCACATCTGAACTGGCCAAGGGCGTCATCAACCGATGTCAGCTGCTAATCTGTTGCACATCCAGTCGCACCACAACCCCCTCTACGGGAGAAGCTCACTGTTCTGAGCGGAAGAATGAGAATCTGGTAGAATGGTAGGGGCAAGAGCCCGCAACTTTCTGTTTATCCATCAACCACCCAGGGGAGGGATAAAAAAAGAAGAGAGATTGAAGAATAGAGAGATGTGCGCTGAGAGAAAAAGTGAGAAAAGGACTTTTTCAGAAAACAAGAGATTGAGTGCCAGAGTGATGTGAGAATCACAAATGAGAAAATGTGGGAAACAATACCCAGAGAAACAGGCTCCCTATGCACATTTGAGTGTTGTGTGCGTGTTTTGTTTGTCTCAATTCTTGTTTTGAGTCATTTCGAGTGTTCTCGATGTCTTTAGGTTGTTTACCTTTTGTTTTCCTTTGTTGAGTCGTGGTGCGCTGTGTCCAGTCATAGGCTCAATACTCGGTCGAGAACTCATTTCTCAATTTCCAAAAATAAATTGTTTTGTGCTCAGAGTGTTGTGTCATTCTCCATATTTGTGCAAAACAGGCTTTGTTCTTTCATAAAAATGAAGGGTTCAACCTGGGTCATGAGAGAACAGTAAAACTAGGACCTATCTGAAGCTATATGGGTTCCAGACTGCAAAGAAAAAGAAAAGAGGGAAAATTGAAGCATCTTAGTATGTTTCAACTTCAGCAAATTCCGTGATTGCATTCCGAATGTACCTCTTCAGGCCTTGTCAATGCTCCGAAGTATGAGTGTGCCTCTACCTCAAGCTCAAGTTCAAGCTTGCTTCAAGCCAAAATGGCAATCAGGAGTGCTCTCCCTGAGTACCATTCCCTGCCAGAGTTATCTTGGCTGTGTTTGCAATGAGTTCCTAGGAGACCAACTGCAACGGTGGAAACTAGAGTTCGAATGGCTGATGCCTAGAACACAAAGGTTTGGAAGTTCCCAGACTAAAGTCTGGTTTGAATACCCAGGGGTATATCCCCGGCTTGAAATCTGTATGAAGGCCTCATAGGTTGAGGTAGCAGGTATGCGCCTCGATTCTGGATGCTAAACCAACCTAGTCTGTCACCCCGTTAAAGAATAGGGAAAGTTGTGAATATGATCAAGAAAGAAAACGGCATTTGTGGTTTCTACGTGCAGAAGTTATCCTTGGTCAACATTTCAGAACCTTTGTACTGTGAGTTGAAGGTAAGTGTTTGAAGAACACAAGGGGAGATCCCCGTCAGAGTAGAGCGGCTCACCGTCACTCACCCCATGAGGTGCTTTCTAAAGTGCCGCTTTGTTTGTTTATTGCATTCCCTGAACATCATGCTCTACATTGCTTGTAACATGTATTGTTTTATCGCACTTATTGTATTTATTTGCATCTTGTATTATCTTGTATCATTTATCCGTTCACGCTGCGCAGCGTTTAGGATTGTTGTCCTTCGGGTTTTATCTCTGGTTGCGTCGTGCACGCACTTGGGCGGGATGTCTTCGTACCTCTTCTCACGATTTCAGCCTGGTTAGAGTTTGTTCCTTCCTCACATGATTTCAGCGTGTTTGGAATTTGTTAACATCTTCTCACGATTTCAGCGTGGTTAGAGTTTGTTCCTTCCTCACACGATTTTCAGCGTGTTTGGAATTTGTTAACCTCTTCTCACGATTTCAGCGTGGTTAGAGTTTGTTCCTTTCTCACACGATTTCAGCGTGTTTGGAATTTGTTAACCTTTTCTCATGATTTCAGCGTGGTTAGAGTTTGTTCCTTCCTCACACGATTTTCAGCGTGTTTGGAATTTGTTTACATCTTCACACGATTTCAGCATGGTTAGAGTTTATTCCTTCGTCACACGATTTCAGCGTGCTTGGAATTTGTAAACCTCTTCTCACGATTTCAACGTGGTTAGAGTTTGTTCCTTCCTCACATGATTTTCAGCGTGTTTGGAATTTCTTAACCTCTTCTCACGATTTCAGTGTGATTAGAGTTTGTTCCTTCCTCACACGATTTTCAGCGTGTTTGGAATTTGTTAACCTCTTCTCACGATTTCAGCGTGGTTAGAGTTTGTTCCTTCCTCACACGATTTTCAGCGTATTTGGAATTTGTTTCTCTCTTCTCACGATTTCAGCATGGTTAGAGTTTGTTCCTTCCTCACACGATTTCAGCGTGTTTGGAATTTGTTTACCTCTTCTCACAATTTCAGCGTGGTTAGAGTTTGTTCAATCCTCACACGATTTCAGCGTGTTTGGAATTTATCTCAGGTTGTGTCGTGCACGCATCTGGGCTATTGTTTTTAGACCTCTTCTCGCAATTTCAGCGTGATTTGAGTGTCCCTTTCCTTACACGATTTCAGCGTGTTTAGAATTTATCTTAGGCTGCGTTGAGCATGCTCCTGATTGGTTGTTTTGGGTTTTTTTTTTCCTCCTCTCATGATTCTAGTATGGTTGCAGTATGTCGCCCTTTGCATCTACGGCACTATCTGTTTTATCGCACTATTTTGTGCACTTTACTTGCATTGAGCATGCATTTTATCACGCTATTTTGCACATCGCACTATTTTGTGCACCTTACTTGCATGGAGCATGCATTTTATCGCGCTATTTTGCACATCGCACTATTTTGTGCACCTTACTTGCAATGTGCATGCATTTTATCGCGCTATTTTGCACATCGCACTATTTTGTGCACCTTACTTGCATTGAGCATGCATTTTACCGCGCTATTTTGCACATCGCACTTTTTTTTGCAGTTTACATTCTCACTATCTTGCGCACCTTATCTGCACTTGTTAGTGCATTGCATTGTTCACGCTATCTCGCGCATCTCATCTGCACTTGTTAGTGCATTGCATCATTCGCGCTATCTTGCGCACTTTATCTACACTTGTTAATGCGTTGCATTGTTATGCACACTTTAAGCACATTGTTATACATACTACTCGTTGCATTGTTATGCACTCTACTTGCGTTGCCGCGCATGTTTTACTTGCATTGTTATGCTTGTTTCACTCTCATTGTTATGCGCACTTAGGTTGCATTGTCATGCACTTTTCACTTGCGTTGTCACGCACTTTTTACTTGCATTGCTACGCACCTTTCCATTGGCATTGTGTATGCACGCGTTTATCTCGCATTGGAATTGTACCATGTTGTAACGTGGGGCATGTGTTCTAACTATATTGTACCTGTTAAGTTTCTTTCTTATGCAGGCACGATATTGTATGTACAGTTTATTTGAGGCTGGTGCGACCAGACGGTATTGTATGTACGGTTCATTTGAACTTCTCTTCCTTCTCCGCATGAGACGCAATGAGAATCGTATAATTTTCTTACATCCTTTCTGCATGAGATATAGTTTGGTTCGTACTCATTCGCTTGCTTAAACTATTGCATTTATTTTGCATATTTGCTTCATTACAGCTCTCTTTGCATGATCATAAGTTATGTTCGGTTTTGTGCATGTCATTTGCATTTTGCCCCTTCCTGCGGGCGCATCTCTTTGTTAGCTTGCCTGTTTGTCTAAGTCTTCGGCCTTGTCAAAAATGGGTCGTCTCTAGGCTTTGACATTCACTCCCGTCACTTCTTGACTTCCGAGTTCTGTCAAAGAGGGGCAACTGGAGACACCCTATTTTTGATCGACCTTAAGACTCAGACGTCATCGATTAAGCGCTCGGTGATCATGCATGTTTGAGCTCGTTTCGAGTTTCTGGGGTTTTTGGCTGAGAGCCTTGCCTCCGGGCCTCTAAACTCTTTGTGCTTTGGCTCGGTTTGTGGACCGAACCTTGTTCTCTCTTCCCTGGAGGGAGAGAGAGGTCTTGTAGACCATCCTTTTGTGGTTGTACACCACTTTTTGCGGTCGTAGACCACTTTTCCCGCTTGGAGACTAGTTTTCGATTTTCAGAGCCACTACAACAAATAAGACTTTTGGCGACCAAATATTTTGGTCCCTAAAACTCCTATTTTGGTCTCTAAATGATTTTTCTGACAAAATTAATTTTGTCACTAAAAAAGTCACTAATAGTGCGTCTAGAAAAGTCTTTAGCGACGAATTTTTGAAAATGTCACTAAAAATGACAATTAGCGAGCAAGTTTATACTGTCACAAAATATTTAATGTTACAAGACTAAACATTTGGTCACTAATACTTCGTCGTAAAATGTCCCAATTTGGTCGCGAAAAACAAAATAATGGTATTTTTAACGACAATGATATTTGGTCGCTAAAAGATATAACTTTCTCTATAATACATTTTCGTCGCTAAAAATCAAAGTTAAGAATTTTGTAATCATTTAATTTTATAGCTAAAAATGCACAAAATTAAATGCCATCCAATCATATTAAAAAAAATTGACATCCACACATCAAAAACATTTTATTCCCAAACCACAATGAGTATATAAAAAGTAAAATTTTATAAAAATTAAAACTGAAAGTTTCCAAATTCAAATCAAAGTAGTAACCGTTCAAATGAAAAATATCTAAAAAAGCATTTTCTCAACATCAATGTCATGTTTTATATCAAACAGCATTGGCACAAGAGGCTTCAAGTTGTACTTAGGTGTGACACCCTTTGGACATCCCTCCAACCCAAAATTCAAAAAGAAGAATCAAATAATAAGAATCAACACAACATAAACTCATTAAATAATCAATAGTCATTCATAATCAAATAAATTACAAATAATGAAAAAACAAATTAGCTCAGTGTACTTGTAGTAGTAGTGAGCTATAATAAGAATCAACACAACAAGAAAATGAGTCACCTAGAATCAATACAATAAGGTTATCATAATCCAAGCATATTATCATAATCAACCCTTTCAAAGTTGATATTTTATAAACTTATCTCTCTATATAGCAGGTCTACAATAGCAGAAAAGTATATAAAAGAGAACCAAGAAGCACTAAATCTAGTCGATTCATCTGGCTAATTCTATAGGTAATATCCCTCATACACTTCAAAGCAGCAAAAACTACAAATAATTAACACGAACAAACCAAGTTTTTCAAATCCCACAAGATCTACTAACAATGATTCACAGAAGCAACACTATCTACCAAGAGAGCTAATTGAAATGTTTAAGTGTGAAACAATACTAACATGATAAATTCTTTTACCCCATCAATGCATTGATGTAACCTTCTATTATGAAGTTGCATCCAACTCCTATCCATCCCGAAATCCCTATTATGTAGTACACAAAGACATTATCCTTAAATTCCAATATCTAGTTACTTTCTATATGTGGTCTTAAGGGAGAAACACAACTAAATTCTTGAAGAAGTTTCACTAATATGTATATCTACTTTTGACTATGGCCAAAAATAATAATAATTACTAACAAAAATAAAAATAAAGAAGAGGAAAGAGCTCATTGAAAAACATACCAAAGATGAAGCAATTATACAACCAAAAACCAGTCCAAGAGAATGAAGAAGCCTCTTCCTGCAGTCAATACCCACTTAATGAGAATATATCTTCAATTCTAAGAGGAAATGAGAACACTGCAATGTTAATGAACAAGAGGAAAGAGCAAAATGCAGAAGCAGGTTTCAGAAGAAGACAACTACAACTTCTAACATTGTCAAATTTCCCCTCGTGCATGCAGGAAAAATCATAGTTGGGTGGACAATGGAATTCCATGTAGCTGGTTGTGGAAGGAACACTTTTCAAAAAAAAAAAAAAAATGAATTCACACAAAGCCAATGTTATCACAAAAATGACCTTCTGCAGCTACTTCATAAAGGAACACTGACCTTTTTTCGAATTCTGTGGCATATTGACAACATGCCAAAGACAACCATTGACCACAAATTTTTAGGTTAACTAAACTCATTGTATAATAAGATTTGATGCCCTTGGAGCCATACGGGTATGAAGCAAACATAATTTAATATAAAGTCAAACACTACTTAGATCTTTTGTCATACATATATGAAGCAAACATCTGAAAATTTGTTTAATATGCTCCAAACACTACTTAGATCTTTTGTCATCGAAAATGTGTTTAACTAACCAAATAAGAAAGTAGAAAAACAAGCACCAAGTAGCACACCTGAGGCATCAGTGCTCAGCTGATGCTTTTTCAACTCTTGTATAGCTATCGAAAATGTGTTTAACTAACCAAATAAGAAAATATTGTATAATAAGATTACTCCCTTCCCACCTCCCTGCAAGTGACCATCACGGACCTCCCGTCAACAAGTAAGGCAAAGGTCATAAAAACAGTTTGGACAGCTTTTGTGGAAATCAACAACAGAAGTTTTACAGTAGTTGCTGCACAAAATATGTGATATCATTACGCAAAAATTAAGAGATTGCCATCAGTGCCTGGTTCAGAAGCAAGCTGCCATCAGTGCCTGTCAATTTCTTCAAGAGATTGCCAGCCAAGTCAGATATGCTTCTTCTATGACATGGAAATTATTTAGATATTATGTATTATATATTTTGCGTAAATCAAAAAGAAGATTCCATAATAAAAACCCACAAGGTCATTTTTCCCTGCTTTCCTGAAGATGTATGTTGCAAGTCATTTTTCTCTTACAATAGTGTCAACTTTTTCCTCCTGTAAGTTGATGGAACATGCAGGGCCCTGCAATTGAACCCTTTGAACATGATGCTGAGAAAGAGAAGTACTATGCCGATCTTCTTCATATGGGCACCATTGATGGCAGCATGGATGATGGCACTGTTGTAGCAGCAGAGATGGAAGCAGCACTCAAGGAATATGACCTAATTGGTTCTGATCTCGGGATTGTCCCCAAGACTTGTAAAATTTTGCCTGAGGATCCAAGCCAGTTAACCCGATGGATTATTGAGAAGAGATGGTGCAAAAGGTTTGAGATGAACTACCCTATCCTGTGTGCCCTCGCAAAGAGATTTTTATTTATTATTATTTTTATATATAAAAATTATCTTTGGTCTGTACACTAACTTAATGAAGTGTGTTAACCGAAGATTTAAGTCTTTTGATTCAGGAGGAAAAGATGCTTGTATATGAATATACAGTACTCAACATCTATAATTTATTTGTATAGGAACATTGATATTAATGTTGTGATGTTGTAAATACTGTTGTAAATTGGGGTGAAACATAATAAGTCGATCCAGTGGTTATCAAATTTTACAGAATTAGTAAATGTTAAAAGATAGAATTTTGATGTTGGATTTATATTGCAGTCCTGTCCTTTTTGCATGAAAAAAACAAGAAACAACAACAAGAAACACAACAGAGCAATAAGTTGTAAGGGTGTCTTTGGGAACCTTTGGATAGACTTTTAGAAAGGTGGATTCTTTTTATCAGATCAACATCTAGTGTGGACTATATTTCGCCCCTCACAGTTTTTTATGTATGTTCACGTGTGTGTATATTATTATATTTAGGGTTCAAGACCCTAATGAATGCCGCATGTTTCTACCTACCTAAACAGGTGGATTGATTGTTAATAAAGACTGTAAAAAATGATTCATTTTTGTGAGGCACTTCTAGGAAGCTTCAATTTTTGGTTACTTCTTTCAACAGAGCCTGTTTGTTGATTCATTGAACTAGTAACTTACAAGAATATCTGCAATGTACTTGCTTTCAAGTTGTTACAACTATTCTCGCTTTGAACTAATCTTATGTTCTAAAAACTGGTTTGAAGCAAAACTATACAACCCTTCTAGGCGTACAGAATCTGATTTCCCACAGATCGCTTTATATGGGGTGAGAATCCGAGAAAGTCTTGTTCTGATTTCTGTACTAGATTGCGCTCTTCAAAATTCATTTGATATCATAAATTCATTTACAAAATGTGCAATTAATTAAGTAATTAATAATCCAATTAAAGAGTGGAGGATCTTATTCATGGGAAACGATTGAAAACCAAACAGGTAGGGATATCCTCTTTGTGAGGAAAAGTGAGATTTCTTCTTTCTTTCTTCTGGCTTTGTGGCGTGGGCTTTAGCATATAACTCTGCTGCTTCCTTATGACTATAGCTCAAGAACCTTGTGGGTTTTTAATTATGAATCTTCGTTTTTGATTTACACAAAATATATAATACATAATATCTGGAATAATTTCCATGTCATAGAGAAGAAGCATATCTGATCTGGCTGGCAATTCTTCTTGAAGAAATGACAGGCCACTGATGGCACAAAAAATCTCATTTCATGCAACCATCTAAAATATACATCATGTTGTCGTAAATCTCATTTAGCATTCAATAAGTAAGTGTCATAGAAGAGATACAACAACTAATAAGCATAGTTTTCAGAACCTTACAATTCATTATTCAATTAAAATTCCACTTATATTTACATCAACATTGTCGCCATTTGTCAATTGGATATCATAAGAATTTTTCAGCCATTTTAAATGTGTCAATTTAAGAGGTACAGCCTTAAATAGCTAAAGATTTTAAAAATCAAGCTATTGCACAATATTCCACAACTATTATAGAATAGTTTTAACAACAAACCACATCATTTTACTTCGATTTCTGCCAAGTTCTATGGCAACATCAATGCAATAATATAGTAGCATTAAAAATCCTTCTACTAATAAGGTAGTATGTGTAAATGATAATTAGATTCCTTCTTTTTTGTCATCCTCTCTTCAACTACAAGGTCAAAGTTGAATCAACATTCCTAGGGAAATCATTACAACTATACAAGTGAAGCTAAAACATGGATGCCTACTTATTGTCAAAGAAATGGCAATCTTCACAGCCCATCTCTTAGGGAAGAGATTGACCAACATATGAGAGTTTGATACATATGCCCAATGAGAGCGATCATTCATCATTCTTATTCTTAGCGAGAGAAAGAACAAGAGAAGAAGGCCCTATATTATACACACACAGTTCAATCTATTGTACAAGTCGAAATTGAAATCAAAAAAACAGAAAATGAACAGTTGTAACACTGAAAAACTCACTGAACAATAATTAACAGCCTAACGAAATACAGTATTGATTGAACTGTGCAGAAAAACAATTCTTCTCTCCAACACGCATCAAGATTAGATATATATATACACATACACATTAAGAGATATATAATACACATAAAAAAACGTTCAATCTATAAATATAAGAA